GAGTAGCCAAGGACACAGCTAAGACCACAAATATAGGCTATACCTAAATTTTCAACTCTTATTGGAGAACTTACAGCCAAATCAGTTCTCTGTCCAGTCATCAAAAGTTGCCCTCTCCAACCTCCTTCTCTGAGACTTCCGCTCTGTCCTAACCCCATCCTCTGAGCTAGACTGGAGGAGGACAGACCTTATTGGTCTGGATTCTGAATTTAAGATTCTCTTGATAGTGACTATTGTGAATAGTTTTAATACAATTTCAAACCCACTTGTTTATGGCTTAAATGAAATTGCTTTAATTTATTTGTTTTTTACAATAAAGACAAAAATTATTCTTCTTTAGAAGCAAAGTTGTTTTGACATAAGTAAGGATGTCATCATTCTACAGCTGTTTTTTTAAAAAATTAATTAATTAATTTATTTTTATCCTCACCAGAGGACTTTTTTTTTTTTTTTGCATTTATCTTCAGATAGAGGGGGAGGGAGAGAGGGAGGAAGAGAGAGAGAAACATCAATGTGAGAGAGACACATCGACTGGTTGCCACCCACATGACCCCATCCGGGACCAGGGACAAACTGCAACCGAGGTACATGCCCTTAGCAGGAACCAAACCCGGGAATCTCTGGTCCTCAGGCGGATGCTCTGATCATTAAGCAAACCGGCCAGGGCTACAGCTGTTTTTATTGATAAGCAGTCAGCAGCCCAGCAGATCAGAGACCCACTGGGGGCTTATGAATAAATACAAGTGGAGAAGTAACTATGGCAAGGGAGCATTTAGACTAAATATTGAGAGTTGGTGAGGACTATTTGAGAGTTTAGATTTGGCCCTGGATGATTTGGCTCAGCGGTTGGAGCGCTGGCCTGGGGTCCGGAGAGACCTGGGTTTAGTTCCCACTAGGGGCGCTGTGCCTTGGTTGCGGTTTGTCCCCCGCCCTGGTTGGGTCATGCAGGAGGTGACCACTCATGTGTCCCTTTTGCGTTGATGTTTCTCTCTCTCTCTTTCTCTCTCTCTCTCCCACTCTATCTGGAAAAAAAAAAAGAAAGAAAAAAGAAAAAGTTTAGATTTGGAAGAAGTGACTCTTCACTGACCTAAAAACTCTCCAAAGACTCTTGTGCATTCTCTCTTGTCTTGGGGAAGCATTCCACATAGATGATAAGGATAAGCCACCCCCGAATCCAGGTGACAGACATCAATCTGCCTATTAACACTAAAGTCTTGCCCTGCGGGCCAGGGAGTCCTGGGTTCAGTTCCCGCTAGAGGCAGGTCCCCGCCCCCCAACAAGAATAAAGTCCTTGTTTCCTAGCAACATGCTCTCTAGCAACAGGGAACTTTTACTTTTGTGCTGGTAGCTGGTAATCAGCTCTAGTTTAGATGTCATCTCTCCAAAGTCCCTTCTAACATAAAAAGGCACATCTCATATTAAATGTGAACTCTTTTTCTTTATCTCCCCTGGCCTGGAACAATAGTGTGATTTCTTTGCCATTTATTTGGAGTATTTTTTTATTTTTTTTAAATTTTGCTTGTTAAGGGATATTATCTTGTTTGCTATTGGCTTGTGAAATTGGAATTCCCACGGAGACCCTGGGTGCCCCTCAAAACAAAAAATAAAACAAAACTTTGTTGTTCCATAATTCAGAAGAGATTTTTTTTTTCAAAAGAAAAGACAAAGAAAAAATGCCCATGTATTCTCATTCAGAAAGTTAGATCTGTACTTATTAATCTAAAGTAGAAATTAGTTCAATAGTCCTTTTAAGGGGGAATTTCTTGAAATGAATGATGTACAAAGTCATGAACATCTTTCAGCACAATTTAATTTTCCTACACAGAAAACTGAAGAACTCAGGAGCTGCCTCTTCCACCTGGAAGTGATACCAAACCAGTTTCCAGACTGGGTCTCAGAACCGTAGGTTTCTGCACGTGCCCAATGGGATTTACCTCCCAGTCAGAGTCGCTCCACTTTTATCTATTTATATCGGTGCTCCATAAACTTTTATTCTTTAGAGCATGTTCCTCTAATTTAAAAAAACAAAAGAGTTTGATGATACAATGCATTTATAAAAACTTATACTAAATAAAATGTATTTGAAATAGGCAATGCATTTTTATTTTAGAATATTATTGAAATAAATATTAAAATGCAAGTGTTCATAAACAATTTTTTTCTTTCTTTTTCATATCTCTACCCTAAAGCATAGGTTTTTTTGTTTGTGTGTTTGTTTTTTGCATCCTTGTAGTGGTTGCTTTTGAGCTTTGAGGTATATACTGAGCCCCAAACTTAAGTTGGTATACAGTAATAAGATTTAGAGTAATTTGTTGCACCTAATTAAGAGCCTTCCCTGAAGCAGGCACTGTGCTGAGTGCCAGGAGAATAAAGATGCCTTTGTTTACTTAAGAGTGCCATAGTTTGTAAGAGAGAGACACGTGAGTCTGTGATCAGCGTTTACACCATATCTTTTAGCAGCAGCGCAGAGAGGGGCGTCTACTCAAAAAGGGCTTGGGTGGGAAGAGGAGGACGGGGGAAGCTATAACAATCTGAATAGCTGGCACTGACTGAGCCTCTGTTGTGAGCTAGACACAGCACAAGGTTCTGGATAGACGAAGGAGGACCAAACATGTCTGGCTGCTGCACTCCGGGGCTGCTGTCTGACTGGGGAAATAAAGTTAAACAAAGAAAATCCCAAACATATACAGAATTACACATTCAAGTGAATTCTATGAAGGAAAAGCGTGACAGAATAACAGGAGCACACTTTTAAGGACACTCCAAGAAATTGGCATTTAGGCTTAAAGAATGTATTATAAGTGCTAATTATCACTACAATGGCAATAGTATTACAATGTATAAATGTTTCAAATTAATATGTTATATACCTTAAATTTGCATGATGTTATATGTCAAACATTCTACAATTTAAAAAATATATAAAGCCCTGGCCGGTTTTGCTCAGCGGTTAGAGCGTCGGCCTGTGGTCCAGAGAGACCCGGGTTCGGTTCCCACTAAGGGCACATACTTCGGTTGCAGTTTGTTCCCACCCTGGTTGCGGTTGTGGGGGTGGCAACCAGTTGATGTGTCTCTCTCATTTCGATGTTTCTCTCTCTCTCTTCCCCCCTCTCTTTCTCCCTCTCTATCTGAAGATAAATGCAAAAATGTCCTCGGGTGAGAATAAATAAAATAAAATAAAATAAAATAAAATAAAATAAAATAAAATAAAATAAAATAAGAAATTGGCCTGATGGTGTGGCTCAGTGGTTGAGTGTTGACCCATGAACCAAGAGGTCACCGGTTCGATTTCTGGTCAAAGCACATGCCCCGGTTGTAGGTCAAATTCCCAGTGGGGAGCATGTAGGAGGTGGCCAATCTATGTTCTCTCTCATTGATGTTTCTATCTCTCTCTCCCTCTCTCTTCCTCTCTCTCTCAAAATCAATAAAGACAAAAAATTAAAAAATAAATAAAAAAAAAAAAAAAGAGAAGTTGTCCCTGAATCTGATCTAACTAATTTGCAATAAATGAGATTGGCTGGAAGTCAATAGTTGTTGGAGCTGGATGATAGATACATGGTATTATTGTCTGCTTTGTACGTGTTTGTGCTTTTCTATAATAATAACATTTTCAAAAAGAAAAAAAAAACTAAGGAAAAAATGAGATAATTACATTATAATAAATGTTAAGAAGAAAAAAAAATGGTAATGAAAGTTTTCCACTTGAAGTTCTGTCTTAGCCTGAGGCACCTGGATCAGTTCAGACTGCAGGTCAGTTCCTCTCTAAATTACGAGGAAAAAGCCCGCCAGGTGGGGCCACACCCAAGTGGATAGCTGGAGTGCTTTTCTGGCTGAATTTCCATGGATTGATGCAGTTTCTAACCTTGAAAGAAAGGAGCCAGGATTCCAACCATTATCTGCCTAACCTAAAACCTTTTGGTCACACCCTGACCCAGTCCGTGCTTCTAGACTTCCATGTGTTTTCCTTTAGGTAACTCTTTACCTTGAAGGCTTGTTGAAGCACAGATTCCTGAAGGTCTGGGGTTTGGTCTCATAATTTATTTTTCCAATAATTTCTTTGGGAAACTGAAGCTGGGCCCTTGCAGACCACATTTTGAAAGTAGTACATATACACAAAATTAAGCTGATCTGGGTTTCATGGGTCCTGAGACTAATGGACCAAACCATTTTCCTAGAGCGGAGAAAGCGCCCTGTGAGACCACTGGATGCCAGTGCCCTGTCTTGTTTGCTGATAGTATCCTTAGAGTGACATGAAAATATCTGACTTCTTCAGGCTCCTCCCTGGTCACACCCTGCGTCCAGCATCATGCTCCAGCGACCCCCAAGCGCTTGCAGGTACTTCTGCATCCCTCAGTCCATCACTGGCCCTGAAGGCTTGGCCCTTGCTCCTATTCTCGACAGCCACACCCTCTCCTTCTCCCCAGCTCACCAATGTTACAAGCTTAATACTTGTGTTTAGAACGAAATCTAAGAGGGATTGTTACTCAAGCCCTACAACGTAAATCTAATCGCCAAGTGACACACCCATGGTTATAAATCAATTATAAAACACCTCTAAATCTTTTTTCTATTCCTTCCATAATAACATCATTCCATCTGTCACCACGATTGTCTGAGAAATGTTTCAAACTACTCTGGTTGTTCAATTGTAAGTTGTCTGCAAGAGTTTTTCACTTCCAGTTTTCTCCCAAGTCTTTATTCCTTAAGGATAAAAATCTCTCTTTTTAAAACATTGTGATATTAATTACCCAGTAATTCTAAACTCACCTAAGAGACAAGATAGGGAATAAAACTGATAGGATTACCACCCTGTCAGATAATGAGGGGGCGGGGGGAGGGCGGGAAGAGGAGAAAGAAAAGAGCTCTTTAGAGAAACAGGAAGTAGAAGGAGACATTTGCTTATAAAAAGAGAAACCGGGCTAGAAACCCTCAGGTTAAAAGGAGTCAACTGCTGGTATCCTTCCCCCTGCCGCTGTGCCTTCCTCGGAGTGTTCCTGGAAATGGCAAGCTTGAGTTCTGACAACATCGGAAAGGTAAGTTTAGTTCCAATAGAATTGATTTGCCCGCAGATTAACTTTATAAAGCCTTTCTGGAGCTCCCCTATATTTCCCTCTAGCCACAAACCTTAATTTCTGGATGTAAGAACTCTCCACCTTGGAATCCTCTCTGCGAATGGATTATGGCTCTGTATATTTGGGTGAGAGTAACAGAGGAGAAACAAAGATTCCTTTTTTTTTTTTAATGGTGGTACGTGCCCCTAGCGGGAACCGAACCCAGGACTCTCTGGTCTGCAGGCCGACGATCAACCGCTGAGCCAAACTGGCCAGGGCACAAAGATTCCTTTTCATAGTGCAAAGGAAGAGATTTATTTTGCAGAAAGGCGTGTTGGAGGTGAACAAGATCAAACCAGTAAAGAAGTGGAGAGCTATGCTAAAAAGAATGTGGGAAAGGTTGATGTGGACAAGGCCGGAAAGTGAAGTGACTGATCAGTTTCTTTCCTCCAGGAGTGAGAAGTAATTTACTTCCAATGGCCTTGGTATATAGGTTTCCGACTGGGCTGGGTCACCCTGGACTGGAGGAGAGGATAAATTGAGGAGGTTTCACAGGTATTTGCAGGGCTGCTGTTCCAGGCTAGAGGACTGAATTGACCAAACATTAAGTGTGATTATGGGCAGGGCGTACAGCTGTTTGAGTCCCATTTATCTCTAGAGTGGAGTAATATTTTCCTATTCATGTCAATGTTATTTTGAAGCTGACCATTGAATGTGTGTGAAAGTGCTTTAAAAAGGTATACAAATGCAAAATCCCTATATGCAAGCTAGGAGTTTGAGAACCATAGGAAGTCATTCAGGTGACTTAAATAGGAAAAGGGCGTGGCTACGTCCGATATTACAATAGGCTTGGAGCAGAGATGATTTACCTTTGGTTTTGAGAGGAAAATCTAAGTTCAGAGATGGACTCGAGCATATGTTACACTGTGGCATTGGTCATTTCATTTCTGAGACTCGGTTGCCTAATTTGTAAAATAGGAAAACGAATAAATTACTGCAAGTATGCTATGAGGATTATATGAGAGAAACAAAGAAAGATTATATGAGAGAAATAAAGAAAGCATCTAGCGCAGTGCACGGTTACTATACAAAACCAGAAAATGTTACTTCCTACCAGTCCACTTCACCTTTCAGTCATTCGGTCATTAAAGAACATTGAGTGACCCGTCTGCTGGGCACTCATTAGTTACTGTGATTGAAGTGGGAATAAAATAGATACAGTCTCTTCCCTCGGGTCCTGGGTGACCTAAGGCCAGCATGACTGGAGCTCGAAGCTCTTACGCTGGAGTGGCAGGCAGGGGCCACTCTTAGGAATGTGGAGGCCACACCAGGCAGTTTTGCCGTTTGCCCGAAAAGCAGTGATACACGGTGGAAGTATTTTAAGCAAGCAGGGGAGCAATCTGAAGAAAGAGTGGAGTTGAATGAATTTTGGAATAACAGGAGATTTTTGTATCTGCCAGTGAGAGCTAATGACGGCTTGAATGGCAATCATGTGATGAAAGATGGAAAGGCCGGAGCACATTCATTTAACAGATTTAGGAGATAAAATGAAAGTAGTGTTTTATCTGCTGGAAAGGATGGCCACAGGGGAAATGGTTTCCACAAATGCCTTCCATTTCCTCTTTATCACTCACTTGTAAATTCATTTTTGCCCATTTTTTGTTATTTTAAAAAACTTGTGAAGGGTCTTCTAATCACCATCAAATTTAAGGAAATGTCAGGAAGTCTTTGTTCCATCCTCCTCTCTGTTTCTTATTCATTAGTTGTGATTTGAAAGGAAGCAGTTTAATATGTATCAAATGAGAATTGGTGGTTGACCCTTCCCTTTCCAGAATTTCTTTGAGGAGGAATTAGGTGATGAAAGCGTGATTCTCACATTGGTTCCAGTTAACGAGGAACATAATGAAGAACATCAACTGGAACCCAGTGTTTCTTCAACCTCAGAAGCCAAATTGATGACGCCTAGGACAAACGATGAAGGTATGAGGACAAGGATGGCTTTGTTTGCTGCTCCTCCAGCCCTGGGAAGGCCAGGAAAAAAGATTTTTCTTCTCTAGTCTTTGACCACACAAGGCCCAGCTTAAATCTCACCTCAATACTTGTGGTGAGAGATTTTGCACACTCCCACCTTGTCATTTGCTAAGCACCATGTACTGCCTTGCCTTTGAAAGACACATACATACACACACACACACACACACACACACACACACACACAATCAGCATGTGGAGTTCCTCGGTCAGAACATAGTCTTATGGGGCAGCTAGATAGAAGTTCAGATGTCCAACCCATGAAGCTCAACCATCTCTTTATTTTGGTTAATACATACTTTACATACCTCTTACAAAGACTAATTTTTCTCAGCTGTATTGAGATAGTGACACATAACACTGTAATTTTAAGGTACACAATGCAGTGATTGGTACACGTTTATATATTGTGAAATGATTACCAGAATAAGGTTAATTAACACATTCATCACCATATAGTTAGCTTTTTTCCCCCTGTGACAAGAACATTTAAGATTTACTCTCCCTATTTTAATCTTCACTCGAGGATATGTTTTTAATGATTTTTAAAGAGAGGAAAGGATAGGGAGGGAGAAAGAGAGACAGCATTGATCTGTTGCCTAATGTAGCCACCTGGACTGGGGATCAAACCCTCAACCTGGTGTATTGGGATGACACTCAAACCAATTGAGCCACACCAGCCAGGGCAAGATTTACTCTCTTAGCAACTTTCAAGCATGCAATATAGTATTGTTAACTATAGTCACCGTGCTGTACATTAGATCCCCAGAACTTATTCACCTTATAAATGAAAATGTATATCCTTTGATCAACATCTCTCCATTTTTCTCACCCCCAAACCTCTGGCAACCACCACTCTACTCTATTTCTATGAGTTCTGCTTTTTCATTTATTTTTAAATATGTTTTTATTGATTTTTTTAGAGAGAGAGAGGAAGGGAAAGAGAAACATCAATCAGCTGCCTCCTGCATGACGCCCTACTGGGGCTCAAGCTTGCAACCTGGGCATGTTCCCTGACCTGGAATCAAACCGGGATCTCTCAGTCCATGGGACATGACTCAATCCACTGAGCCACATCGGCTGAGCGAGTTCTGCTTTTTTAGATACTACATATAAGTGAGATCACAGAGTATTTGAGAAACAGAATAATTTTGAAAAAAAATTAATATTTTGCTAGGTGAGTGATTATTGATCAAATATCCAGCAGTTCTTAATAGCATGACCCTTTATGTTCTCAGTGCCTGATGTAAAGGGATTGAGTATTTTCAGAATGATTTTTCCCTCCTGGGCCAATAATAAGGAATTCAAGATGAAGTAGAGGATGACAAGTTGCAATAAGCAGACTGAGCAAAGACCAAGTGCTATAGAGGAAAAGAAGGCAGGCTGACAGAGTGGAGGACCCATGTTAGGTAGCATGCTTTCTTTGATTTCAATAGGTCCAAAATCTAGATATTTTTGGAGGGGCAATCCAACATAGTGTTCTATTCAGGTGCTGTTGATGGACACACAAAACAACAGGTTACTGTATTTAGTGTGGAAAACAAAATTTTGAGTGTTAAGACATATGTTTGAGTCTCAGGTCTCTCATTTTAATGGGGATGTGATCTTGGGTAAGTCCTTTATTCTTGAATCTGTTACCTTATTTGTAATATGAGGGAAAATAGGTGGTATGTATGTGTGCAAATTAGGTTGTAAGAAAGATGAGAACTTTGCAAAATTATCAAAAATCTTACAAATTTTAAATTAATACTACTTTGGTTTTCTTCTTTTCTCAGTTAATCTTCCTCAAATGAATGAACAGTTCGAAGCACAAGGGCAATCAGCTCTTTCCTTGCCCACCATCTTGCCTTCAATCAATAAAGTGCGCCGCGACACTTTGCGGAACTGGTGCCAACAACTGAACTTGAGTAGCTACGGCAAGGTGAGTACATTGGTGAGAATCTACTGCTCAGAGCAAATATTGGAAGCTTGGTCAACTTTGACCTTTCTCCCTTCTTAATTTTCTTAGAAAATAGAGGTTTATCTGAGGCTCAAGGAATATGCTTACTCTGAAGAAAAACAAGTGAGTGGAAAGTATGGAGACAGTGTAAAGGTGAGTTCTGACTACGGATTGTTCCTCCTCTCCCAGCATCTCCACCTATGGTATACCCTGATGACAAGGTTTCTCAACCAAGACTTTTGACACTTTGGGCCAAATAATTTATTTTTGTTTTGAGGGCTGTCTTATAATTTAGGATTTTTTTTATTAAAAAAATTATTTTTTCTTTATTGATTTTTAGAGAGAGACGAAAGGAGAGGGACAAAGATAGAAACATCGATGACAGAGAACATCAATTGGCCACCTCCTGCATGCCCCCCACTGGGGATTGGCCCACAACCTGAGCATGTGCCCTGACCAGTAATCAAACTGGCAACCTCTTGGTGTGTGGGTTGATGCCCAATCAGTGATCCACACTGGCTGGGCTAATTAGAATTTTTATCAGACTAAATATCCCTGGCCTATACCCACTAGCCACCCTTCCTCCCCCACACAGCTTTAGCAATTAACAAATTCTCCCAGGTGAGAACCACTACTCTAAGGGAACTAACATTTCTGAACCCTTCCCACGCTGACCTACCTGGGTCACTATCAAGTGGTTCTCAACCTTCCTAATACTATGACCCTTTAAAACAGTTCATGTTGTGGTGACCCCAACCATAAAATTATTTTTGTTGCTACTTCATAACTGTAATTTTGCTACTGTTTTGAATCACCATTAGAAATATGTGTTTGCCGATGGTCTTAGGCAACCCCTGTGAAGGGTCGTTGGACCCCCAAAGGGGTCGCGACCCACAGGTTGAGACCTGCTGGATGAAATGGACACATCCTGGCAGCAGCACTTCACTGATTACCCATCATGCATCCCATTTGCAGAGTACTGCTGAATCGCCACAGGAGGCCACACTGCAGTCATGTTCCAAGAGCTGCAAGATGGTGACCAAGAGAGCAAGGAGTGAGAAAAGTTGTCAGAAGAGTAAGAGAGAGGAAGGGACCAGTTCAGGTGCAGTGACTAATACGGTTGAAGTGACAACTTCAGCTCAGGAGGCCATGTTGGCAGCTTGGTCAAGAATTGCTGCAAGGGCTGTGCAGTCTCGGGCTGCAAATTCACACGCCATTCCTATTTCTGCTGAGAATTTTCTGCTGCAGACATCTGGTAAGAGCCTTAAACGGGGAATATTCCAGAGAAAGAAGGTATTGGACTTATTAGTCCAATACTGAAAGGTAGTACAAAGAAAAGAGTTACTTAAAATATCCGTAGATTGAATATTAGGTTTCTAAAGCACTTATCTTTTGATTGATAATCAAGTTTCACCTAGATGAATCTCTCTTTTTTTAACATAACTTTAAAAAAATTTTTTTTTCCTTTATTGATTTTAGAGAGAGAAAGTGAAAGGGAGAGAGATGGAAGCATTGATGAGAGAGAACATCTATTGGCCACCTCCCGCATGCCCCCACTGGGGATTGGGCCCACAACCTGGGCATGTATCCTGGCCGGGAATCAAACTGGTGACCCCTTGGTGCATGGGTTGATGCTCAGCCACTGAGCCACACTGGCCAGACTCACCTGGATGAATTTCTAAGCCAGGGGACTGAGTGGTGACCCTTTCTGATCACTAAGCAGAAAGAAAGGTGGGAAGAAAGTGTAATCTGACATGTGGTCAGCCACAACAGCCTGAGCTTTCTGCTTTTTCTCTCATTTTCCTCAAGGCTTTCTTTCTTTTTTCTTTATTGATTTTAGAGAGAGAGGAAGTGAGAGGGAGAGAGAGATGGAAACATCGATGAGAGAGAACATTGATTGGCCACCTCCCGCATGCACCCCACTGGGGATCTGGCCCACAACCTGGGCATGTGTCCTGACTGGGAATTGAACCAGTGACCTGTTGGTGCATGGGTCGATGCTCAACGACTGAGCCATACTGGCCGGACTCAAGGCTTTCTTTCTAGCACAGTGAATAAGAGTATGGGGATTTGAACAGCCCTGGTTCAGATTCTTGTCTTATGACCTCCTTGGTATGTGGTATTAGCAAGTTACATAACATAAGCCCTGGCATCCTGATTTCCTTCCTAGAATGATTGCGAGACTTATGAGATGCAACTTGGCATATTAAAAGTAGGCAATAATAACCAAAATGTTTGGGACCCCTGTCCTCTTCAGAAATCTTGAGAATAACTTACCCTGCCTTCCTCCAATTCCTCCTCTCTCCTTGATATTTTTAATGTTTTCATCTCCAGCAGACCCTAGCTCAGGTCAGCACAGTCACCTTCATTCTCTTGCTTGAGTTCTTCTCTCTACCTCATTTCCCAGTGTTCTGGCTCCTCCTTTATCCAGGGCTGACTTGTATAGTAAGGCACTGTGTTCATTACACAAGGAACCTGGCCAAAAGGAAGACAGAAGCTAAAGTTGGCCTACTGTCTGCTCTCCAAGCCACACCTTCTCCTGTGAAAAGGAATGGACACTGTTTTGCTGATTCCAAAAGTGTTGTCCATCCACAAACCTGTCTCTGAAGGACTGCTTACCCAAAAAAAGATACCTACTTATTTTTTATTGTTGAAAGTATTACAGAGGTCCCCCTTCTTTCCCTATTGACACCCTCTTTCCCGCTCCCACACCTCTTCTGCCTTCCCCAGACTAGTGTCCTTATCGATTGGTTGTGCATATTACACCTTTTTCTAATTTTCATTAATGTGCCATATGATCTAGTGGTATCCACACTTTATACTTTTAGTACCTCTCCACTTAGCAGTTACTAAGCACCTACTGTGAGCCAAGAGTGTGCCTAGTCACTGTGTACATAGTGCTAAACATAATCTATTGTTTTACAGTCGGGCATTTTAATGAGGATTTAAGCTCATAGTGACTGCTTCTTTCTCTCAATTTCAAACACTTGATATCTTACCTTGGTTTTTGTTTGTTTTTAATATCTCCCTCCCCAGTTAGATTGCTCCTTGGGCTTTTCAATAAAGATTCTTTTTTCTGTTTTTTTTGTTTGTTTGTTTGTTTTTGTTTTATTTGAAGCAGTACAATATAGTAGTTAGGCAAATGGGTTGTAAATCAGAATACCTGGATCCACTCTTGGGTCTGGGAAAATTATAGTATTTAACAATGCAAGCTGTAGTTACCTCACTTGCAAATAAAAAAGGTGAATAGAAGTTAAATATTAATAGTGTTCTTTTTGTAATGTTTTCATTGATTTTTTTTTTTTTTTTTAAGAAAGAAAGGGAAAGAGAGAAATATCGATGTGAGAGAGAAACATCCCTCAACCACCTTCTGCACACCCCCTACTGGGGGTCAATCCTGCAACCTGGGCATGTGCCCTAACCAGAAATGGAACCAGGGCCTCTCAGTCCATGGGGCGACGCTCAATCCACCAAGCCACACCAGCTGGGTAATAGTGTTCTTCTTTTTTTTAGGACAGTTTTGCATTTATCATCAGGTAGAGCGGAGGGAGAGAGAGAGGGAGAAAGAGAGAAACATTGATGTGAGAGAGACACATTGAGTGGTTGCCACCAACACAACCCCAACTGGGGCCAGGACAAACTGCAACTGAGGTACGTGCCCTTATTGGGAACTGAACCCAGGTCTCTCTGGATCGCAGGCCAATTAACCGCTGAGCCAAACTGTCCAAGGCAATAGTGTTCTTAATAAATGTATGAATATATATAAACAACTTAGCAACATTCTGGAAACCAAGCAAGCATTTCAAAAACTTTATTTATTTATTTTAAATCCTCACCAAAGGAGATTTTTCCATTTATCTTCAGATAGACTGAAAGGCAAGGAGAGAGAGAGACAGACATCGATATGAGAGAGACACATCGATTGGTTGCCTCCTGCACAACCCTGACCAGGGCCTGGGACCAAATCGCAACTGAGGTACAAGCCCCTTGACCTGAATAGTAACCATGACTCTGGTCCTCAGGTGATGCTCTAACCACTGAACAACTGTCCAGGGCTCAAAAACCTTATTATCCCTTATGGTATGTAACTTGTGAAGTGACTGCAGAGAGGTTGGATTGGGGTGCAATTACTTGCTGTCATCTGTTTATATTTGCTCTTCTCTCCTCCCCAGGGGTCAGGTGGTGTGTGGTCCACGGTAGACCTCTCCTGGCAGACAAAAACGGCTGGGTTCGCCTGCAGTTCCATGCAGGTCAGGCCTGGGTGCCTGACACTCCCAGGAAGATGATCTCTCTCTTACTGTTACCAGCCTGCACTTTCCCATTCTCAGACCTAGAAGATAATATGTTATGCCCTGAATGTGTTAAGAGGTAAACCTTACATAGTTTTCTGTATGGCACACCGAGAAATAGATGTCTAGATGGGTTTCTGAATAATTTAGTAGGAGAAAGCAAAGGATAAACCTACTATTTTCTGTTTTTAAATTTTTTTTCTTTATTGATTTTAGAGAGAGGAAGGGAGAGAGAGAGACAAAGAGATGGAGACATCGATGAGAGAGAACATTGACTGGCCGCCTCCTGCATGCCCCCCACTGAGGATTTGGCCCACAACCTAGGCATGTGCCCTGACCAGGAATCGAACTGGTGACCTCTTGGTGCATGGGTCAATGCTCAGCCACTGAGCCACACCAGCTGGGGAATCTACTGTTTTCTTAATTTGCCATATAAATCAGACAAAGCTAGGAAAGAAAAAGAACTTGGTAGTGGATTAGAACTCAGATAAATTTGTCTTCTTAGCAATCTTAAAGTATCTGTAAAGTTAGAATACTTATTGCCTCAATTTTAAAGACCTATTTAAAGAGGGAAAAATGGAGTTCTTAACATGTCAAATGTTTAGGTGGGGATAAAAGAAGTTAGTGAGGCAAAATCCACGTAGCATGCTGGAATGAAAAGGTGCTGTGGAATCTGGGCAGTGCCTACGTTGGAATGGCTTAGGAGATTCAGAAAGGATTGCATGTACCAAGGAAGATTTCTCAGTTGGAAAATAATTTGGGTATTTGGGTAGTAGGAAAGCCCATACAAATACCTGAAAATAAAAAAAAAAAAAAAACAGGACATTACTATAATTTATCACATTGGTGAAGAATTTAAAGAGGAATGGGACAAATGTAAGAGATGCAGGAGTAAAAGAAACAGGGTGTTATCTTGCATGGAGGAAAGGTCGGAGTCTGTCCGGTTCAGTGGTGAAGAATATGATTGGCATGGCTCTAGAGGCCTGACATGAGGAAGGATTATAGAGAAACATTTTGGAGTGTCATTAGCACTTTTTGTTTGTTTGTTAGTCCTCACTGGAGAACATTTTTACATTGCTTTTTTTTTTAAGAATATTTTTTCCTTTATTGATTTTTAGAGAGAGAGGAAGGGAGAGGGAGAGAGAGATAGAAACATCAGAGAGAGATAACACTGATTGGCTGCATCCTGCATGCCTCTCACTGGGGATCAGGGCCACGACCTGGGCATGTGCACTGATGGGGAATTGAACCAGCAACTTCTTGGTGTATGGGTCAGTGCTCAAGCACTGAGCCACACCGGCCGGGCACCATTGATTTTTTTTTTTTTTTTTTTTTCCAGATAGACTGGAAATGAGGGAGAGAGAGAGAGAAACATCAATGTGAGAGAGATACATTGGTTGCCTCCTGCCCGGGTAAGGGATTGAACCTGCAACCCAGGTACATGCCCTTGACTGGCTGTCACTAACCACTGAGGAAACCAGTCAGGGTGGGAGCCATTTGCATTTAAATTGTCATAAGAGTATGTAGGAATTGAAAGGGATGTAGGATAGAACTCTAAAAAGAATCCGTATATGGATGGCAGGTGAGCAATGGAGACTATAAAGAGTACAGTTATAGGTTGGGAAATAAGTGAGAGAAAGAAACAATGGCAGAGTTTCTGAAGAAAATGGTTGGCAGTGAGATGGCTATGTAAGATTATGAATAATGCAGTGTTTTTGTTTGTTTGTTTGTTTTGTTTTTAATTGATATTAGAGAGGAAAGGAGTGGTAGAGAGAGAAACATCAATCAGTTACCAACTGCATGAGCCTGACTGGGCACTGAACCCACAACTGGGGTGTGTGTAATGACTGGAATCCAGTTCATTGCCCAGTACGTGGGGGAGACGCTTCAATCAACTGAGCTACACTGACCAGGGCTGCAGTGCTGTTGAGAATGTCAACTTAGGACATACTTGGTCGCCTTTTTGAGAGTAGGTTGAGGGGGTCAGCAGAAACAGAAATGTGATAGTGACAAGTTAGGGTAGAGCATGTGATGGACTAGGACAGGACATACTGATAATCTCTACCTGATTGAGAAGGAGGGGATAGCAGTTAGTTAAAATAGTAATATCAAGGGAGCGTCTTCCCTCCTTTCTTTCTTCTTTTTTCATGGGAAAACCATGGCAATGTGTGAACAGAGAAGTGATGTGTGAGAAACTGTGGTAAGGAAGGGAGAGTATAAAGATACAGGAAAGTGAACCAATTGCAGTATAAAGAATGTGAGACTTGATAGTAAGTGGACAATCTTGTTTCTTGGTTTACTATATAAAATTCTTTCACTCACCATTCTTAGGTGAGGGTACTAACTACTTAAGAACTCCAGAAGTGGATTTCTTATTTTATTGGTTATTTCCAAGGGGTTGGTATGAAATGGTTGTGTTATTCTAACAGTGTTTTAAAGTTATTTTCTAACTTGTTTTATAGGAATAAAAGGATGATGGAAAGATTAGTTAAAATGAAGAAGAAAAAGCAACCTGGTTTGAACACTCTCAAAAAAGAATCAACAGTGGAGACCTCACAGCTAAATCAACTTGAATCCCAGTGATTGCTGTGCTCTGCCCTGGGCATCCTCAGCATTGCCTGAAGACTTGAGTAGACATGTGAATGTCTGGATTCTGTACTTGAGGTGGCCAAAAAGTGACTGCAACTGCTGCTTCAGGTATTTAGCTACATGGAATATAATTTGGTTTTGTTTTAATCAATAGATTTTTTTTTTTTTTTAACAGTAGGGGCAATGTTTGGCTTGCCACACTTTTTTTTTGGTTTTGTTTTTGTTTTTTCACTTATTGGCTTGAGAAAAGAAGGGAGAGAAATAGAAACATCAATGACAGAGAACATTGATTGGCTGCCTCCCGCATGCCCTTCACTGGGGAGTGGGCCTACAACCTGGGCATGTACCCTGACCAGAAATCGAACTGGCAACTTCTTGGTGCATGGATCAACACTCAACCACTGAGCCATAGTGGCCAGGCAATTAACAGATTTTTTTAGCAGTTTAGGTTTTGAGAAAAATTGAGCATAAAGTAAGAGTTCCAAAATTTTGCTCCCTCCCTCACTCCCATTTCCCCTACTAATAGTGCCCTGCACTAGAATGATAAATTTGGTGAACTTACATTGACCCATCTTTATCATTGAAAGCCCATGGCTGACATGAGAGTTTGTTCCTTGTGTTTTACATTCTATGGGTTTTGACAAATATATAATGAGACATATCCACCATTATAGAATCATATGAAATAGTTTCACTACCCTAAAAATCTGTATTCCTATTTGACACTCCTTATTCCCAATACCTGATCCACTGATATTTTTACTGTATTCATAGCTTTGCCTTTTCCAAAATGTCATGCAGTTGGAATTATACAGTAGCCTTTTTATCTTGAATTCTTTAACAGCAATATGCATTTAAGGTTCCTCCATGATCGCCCACTCCTTTTTGGTACTAAATATTCCACTGTCTGGATGTACCATTAATTTGTTTATCCATTCACATACTGAAGATCACCTTGGTTGCTTCCAAATTTTAACAATATAAATAAAACTGCTATAAACATTTGTGTTCAGGTTTTTGTGGACATATATTTTCAACTTATTTGGGTAACTACCAAGAAGCATGATTTTTGGATCTTATGTTAAGAGGATTTAGTTTTATAAGAAACTGCCAAACTTCCAAAATGTCTGTACCATTTTGCATTGCCATCAATAATGAATGAGAGTTCATATAGCTTCATATCCTCATCAGCATATGGCATTGTCAGCAATTTGGATTTTAGCCATTGTAATAGGTGTGTAATGGTATCTCACTGTTTTGTCTTTTATCTTTTTTCTTTATTGATTTTTAGAAAGAGAGAAAGGAAGAGGGAGAGAGAAACATGAGAGAGAACATAGATTGGCCGGCTTCAGCATGCCCCCCACTGGGGATTGGACCCACAAGCTAGGCATGTGCCCTGACCAGGAATCAAACCAGCAACCTCTTGGTGCATTGGCTGATGCTCAACCACTGAGCCACACCGATGAGGCAGTATCTCATTGTTTTAATGTGCAGTTCCATAGTAAGATATGATGTGGGCAGGCATTTTTTTTTTAAATTTTTTGTTTTTCCCTTTATTGATTTTAGAGAGAAAGGAAGGGAGAGGGAGGGAGAAAGAGATAGAAATATCAATGAGTGAGAACATCGATTGGCCGCTTCTGGCATGCCCCCCACTGGGGATTGGGCCCACAAGCTAGGCATATGTCCTGACCAGGAATCAAACCAGCAACTTCTTGGTGCATGGGTCAATGCTCAACCACTGAGCCACACCGACCGGGCTGGACAGGCTTTTAATATGCTTTGCCTATCATCTGTATATCTTTGATGCTTTGGTGGAGTGTTAGTTCAGGTTTTTTTGCCCATTTGTTTTTAACCTGGATGTTCATTTTGCTAAGTTTTTTTTTTTTTTTTTTTAAGGTTAGTACTCCTTCATGATATTTAACATTTTATTTATTAATTAATTTTAGAGAGAGAAGAAGGGAGAGAAAGAAAAACATTGATTTGTTCCACTTTCTTATGCATTCATTGATTGATTCTTTTATGTGTCCTGACTAGGGATCAAATCCACAACCTTGGCATATCTGGACGATGCTCTAACCAACTGAGCTACTCAGTCAGGTCTTACTAAGTTTTAAGAGTTCTTTGTATATTTTGGATGACATTTCTTTATCAGATAAATAAGTCTTATGCAAACATTTTTTCCAGTCTTTGGGTTAGCCTTTCATTATGTTGATTAATTAGTATACTTAGATCATTGATATTTAAAGTGATTGATAGAGATGAATTGAGATACTTTTCATTGCCCTTATCTTATAGTTCTTTTTTTGACTTCCTCCCTCTTTATTTTCTGGTTTTAATTGAAGTATTTTATTAACTATTAATGAAATATATGTCCATTAATAGACTCCAACCCTCTTTCATGATGAAAACATTTACTACACAAAGCATGGAACGGAGCCCTTGGCCGGGTGGCTCGGTTGGAGTATCCTCCCATTAACCAGAAAGTTGCAGGTTTGTTTCCCAGTCAGGGCACATACCTGTGTTGTGGGGCTGCCTCCTGCATGTCCCCACTGGGGACTGGGCCCACAACCTGAGCATGTGTCCTGACGGGGAATCGAACTGGCGACCTCTTGGTGCATGGGTCGATGCTCAACCACTGAGCCACACTGGCTGGGCTGGGTTGTGGGTTTTACCCCCAGTTGGGGCACATAATGGGAGGCAACCAATTGATGTCTCTCTCTCCTTTCCTCACTCTCTCTAAAAAGAAAAGAAAAAAAAAAAATCCTTGGGTGAGGATTAAAAAAAAAAAAAGACTAGAATGGAACACCCTCAACATGACAAAAACCCACAACTAGCATACTAAGGGCAAAAGGCTGAAAGTTTCCCCCTTGAAGTTGGAAACAAGACGAGGATGCCCACTTTTACTATTTCTATTCAAGATGGTACTAAAAGTTCTAGCCAGAGAAGTTAGGCCAGAAAAAGAAATAAAGATTATCTAAATTGGAAATGCAGAAGTAAAACTGTGTATACATAGATGACATGACATTACATATAGAAAACTGAGTAATTCTTCAAAAACTATTGGATCTAATTAACAAACAGCAAATTTGCCAAATATATAAATTACAATTATTAATATTTCTATATACTAGCAATGATCTGCCAAAATTAAAATAATTTTATTTCCAATGGCATCAAACATAGCATATAATACTATTAAAAAAAAATAAACTTTAAGAAGTTAATGACTAACCCATGTGGCTCAGTGGATTGAGTGTTGTCCTATGGTCTGAGAGGTACCTGTTCAGTCCCTGGTCAGTTCTCCAGTGGGGGTCATGCAGGAGGCAGCCAATTGATGTATCTTTCACATTGATGTTTCTATATATCTCTCCTTTCTCTCTCTCTAAAAAAAAATCAATTAAAACATATAAAAATTTTTTTTTAAAGTTACAAAACATGTACACTGAAGACTATTAAACATTGCTGAAAAAAATCCCTTAGTTCATAAGTGTGGTAAACAGATCAATTTCAATATAAAAAATGCATATTTTTTATACTGCTAGCTTATGCATTTTATTATATTATTTAAAAAATACTGCACTGAAGTAAAGTTGAAAGAAGAGCAGCAATTTACAATATTTTTCCCCCACTTTTTTTTTTTTTAAATCCTCACTCGAGGATATTTTTTTCATTTATCTTCAGATAGAGTGGGAGGAAGGGAAGGAAGGAGAGAGAGAGAGAGAGAGAGATAGAGAGGCAGAGAGCAACATCCTGGATTGGTTGCCTCCTGCACGACCCCAACCAGGGACCAGGGCCGGGAACAAACCACAGCTGAGGTGCATGCCCTTGACCAGAATTGAACCTATGATTGATCCACTGGCCAATGCTCTAACCACTGAGAAAACTGGCCAGGGCTCATTTTACCCACATTTGAAAAACCTTTTTCATTTGTTTTTTATTGGTTACCCTGCCATATAGAGTTAGCAGACACATTCTTTGCTCCAACATGTTTTAGCATGCACCGTCTAAGAATAAGGACATTCTACATAATCAATGTCATTACCAAACCTAAGAAATACTCATTTTATAATAGCATCTAATATCTAGTTAATAGTCAAATATTACTAATTGTCTCCAGAATATGTCTTGTACTTCTTTTTTAATCCTTACCCGAGGATATTTTTTTATTGATTTTTTTTTTTTTTTTTTTAGATAGAGTAGAAGGGAGAGGAATATCCAAGTGAGAGAGACACATAGACTGGTTGCTTCCCACATGACCCCCACCAGGGCCGGAGGTCAAACCTGCATCCCAGGCACATGCCTTTGACTGGGAATCGAACCTGAGACCCTCTGGTCCGCAGGCTGATGCTCTACTGAGCTGAGCCAAACCATCCAGGGCTGTTTTGTACTTTTAGAAATCCAGGATTCAATAGTCTCAGGCAATTAATTATAATATTTTTTCTAGTTCATTTTAATCAAAGATCTTTTTATGATATTGTCTTTGAAGAGAAAAGGTCAGTTTTCTTGTGCATTATACCACATTCTGGATTGTTTTCTCATGGTGTTCTTGTAATAATTATATTTTCTGTAAACTCAAAAGTAAGACTAGAGACTTGATTAGATTCAGATAAAGTATTTTTAGAAGAATACTGTATACATGAGATTGAGTACTTCCTATTTCATTGCATGAGAAGAAACATAATTCAGATCGTCTCATCATTATATTAAAAATGTTACATTATTACAGTGATGATCACCTTATTTTTCCAACTGAAATTTTGACTTAGAAATTTATAACTAATTTGTAGGATGATGCTTTGAGACCTTGTGGTTCTCTTTCCCTTTCCCAACAACTCTTTTTCTTTTTTTAAGCCTCCTGTGGTCATTCATGTCTGAATCAATGATTACCTTGAGGGTTGCAAACTCTTACCAGTCTTAATTCACTTTTGTAGCTGACGTTCTGTAAAGAAGAAAAAAGCTTATTATTATTTTTGGGGGGGTTTCCCTTTCATTAT